TTAGCTGTTGATGTATACATCTGTCTGTCTATCTACCTATATTACCTATCTATCTATTTATCTCTTTCTCTATCTCTGTCTAATATTAAAATCTCTACCTTTAGCACTGTGATCCAGTATGTTTATACTGTCAAATTGAGCAATGAATTGACGTATATACTTGTTATGCTTGCGAGTGTATATTAACTGATTGCGCTAGAAATACGAATAAATTGCAATTGAAAAATTGAGTATATTACCAAAAATTCACATCAAATAGTATGTTGATGAAATTTGTTTTGATTGTACAACATCTACATATGGGAGGCAATCTCATCATCTCGATGCAAGAGGTGAGCTGAATCAAACTTGTCTCATTCCATCTTTCCAACCAAACACAAGAGCGAAACAATAACATCAAACAGATGAATGAAACCGGTCCTGTGGGATGGAAGGGCAAGTTGATGAATTTTGCAGGCCGGCGCGTTTTGGTGCGAACGGTGCTCTCTTCCCTGCCAACTTTTGCTCTGACAGTGCTCAAGGTGCCGAAGAGGGTACTGAAGGAAAACGACAAGGCTCGGCGACGCTTCCTGTGGGCGCAGGACGAAGCGCTGACGGGTGGAAAGTGCAAAGTGGCGTGGAGCTCGGTGTGCTCACCAGTAGAGAAGGGCGGGCTGGGGATACCTGATCTGCACCGGTTTGGCTCCGCCCTAAGACTATGCTGGTTGTGGTTATCCTGGCAGCAGCCGGCGTGACCCTGGTCGGCTTTCCCCTTGCCATGCAACAAGACGAACAGAGAGATGTTTGAGAGAGCCACGACGGTCCGGATCGGCGATGGCCAGCAAGCAGGATTCTGGACAAGCTCCTGGCTGGATGGCACCCCGCTACGCTCATCCTTTCCGGACCTTTTCAAGCACTCTAGGCGCAAGAACCGCATGGTGGCTGCAGCGCTCACCAACGAGCAGTGGATCAGCGATCCATCATCACTGAATACCTGCGCCTTTGGCGGCGACTCCAGCTCTCGGGGATCACCCTCGACAACCAAGTGGCCGATCAGATTGCATGGACAGTAGGTGGCGGCACCTACTACTCTGCTCGGGCAGCATACAAGCACAAGCCACAGCAAGGTCGTCTGGAAATGCTGGGCGTCAGGGACTGTCAAGATGTTCGCGTGGCTGCTTCACAAGAACAGGCTTTCGTGCAATGACAGGCTACAGAGGCGGGGCTGGCCAAACGGGTATTATTTCTGCAGTCTATGTACCAGAAGCCTGGAATCCGCGTTGCACCTCATGTGGGAATGCCCCTTCTCCTGGATGATTTGGATAACTGCCTCGACCTAGAATGGTTGCGAGGCCATGAGACATGTCAAGCCGCCGCACGACAACTCTCTACAGCACTGCCAGGAGATGATCAGACGCACACTGACCGGCGTGCTTCTGATTGCCTGGCACATTTGGAAGGAGAGGAACGCTTGTGTTTTCAGAGCTAAATTGCCACTGCAGACGATGTCCTTCAGGCTATCAAGCTGGATCTTGCACAATGGAGACTCGCCGGAGCGACATGCTTAGAGCTCCCGTTCGGGGACGCCGCTGTGAGATAGCGCGTCAAAAGGCCTCCCAATTTACTTTCTCTTATGTTTCTTTTGCCTTTTGCTCTCCGTTTGCACACCTCTCTTGTGCCCATGATCACTTGATCCCCGCTGTTTCCCATATGTTTTCTCCTAAATCAATGAAGCCGGTCAAAACCGAATCTTTCAAAATAGAATGAAACCGATCCGTTTAACCATGAAACTCCATTCCATTCCATTTGGCTCCTCATTCAAACACACCCTTTGTTGCCTCTCCCCACATGCACGATCGGTCAGGATGAAGAAGACACATGTACATTGACCCATGAAATCCTAGATCTTGAACTGAGAAACTCGGCAGCACAAGTGCACCAACTATTGAGATACTCATCGTCCCGTGAGGGAAGTGGAGGTGATGAGTTGTCCTCCTGTGAAGAGCATACCAGCCTGCGGCAGCTCCATCTCCTGTTGCATGCCTGACAGTGCGAAACAAAGGCAGGCCTCTTTAAAGTTGTACTTCCTCCGTTCCTAAATATAAGTCTTTTTAGAGATTTCATTTAATATAGACTACATAGAAGCAAAATGGATGAATCTATACTCTAAAATACGTCTATATACATCCGTATGTAGTTTATATTAAAATCTCTTAAAAACATATACTTCCTCCCTCCGGAAATACTTGTCATCAAAATGAATAAAAGGGGATGTATCTAGACATATTTTAGTTCTAAATACATCTCTTTTTATCCATTTTGATGACAAGTATTTTTGGACGGACAGACTATTTAGGAACGGAGGGAGTACAAAAATAGCAGCAATTAATCTCGATCGGAGGGGGCAGTATTTTTTCGAAATACTTGCGCTTTGAGTCACTGGTTCATCTTTCCCATCATTTTTTCCTACCATGCTCCTCCTCCTCCACTTTAACAATGGTTGTTCAGTCACTACTCACTAGTAGAAAATCGAAGGATATAAAGGAGATTCCAGCCGCCACCTTAATCTGTCTTAAAATTTTGGGAATGTCTATTATTTTGGAATGAAGGAATTGCATCAGAAACATAAGTAAGTGCCTCTCTTGCACAAAGATGAGCAACACTATTAGCACTACGTCCAGGAAAAAAATAAGCGTAAGAGCATCTCTAATCGATCCCTTGATCATTTAGCCTCGAAGGTCATTTTTAACCAATCCCTTAAAACTTAGTGGAGTAAAAGGCTTAGTGGAGCATATATACTCCATTAAGTTTTTGGCTGGACCTAGCAGATCCCCTAAATATAACTGAGTAAATTTGTGTTTTTTTAAACTTTGCAATTCTAGTATAAATCGCAATTACATATTGGCACACATGTATAAACTTAACATAAATTTGAATGTTCAACCAAATTACAAATATAGTTTACAAAGTGAATTCAAAGTTTACAAACCGAATTTAAACATGTAGAATGGTTCAAATGTAGCAAACAACATTTCATAGAACAACTAGGACTCGCTTAGACGTTGCCAATGATGCTCAACAATATCTTGTTGGAGCTGAGTATGAAATTGACTGTTCTCGATCTTGCGATGCCCTTCAAGGAATGTCAAGATCCTGTTTGTATCGTACTCTAGCTCACCCGGAGCCCCGTTGGTGATGTACCAAAAGTTCTCAGGCATCTCTCTCTCGTCTTTAATGATCATGTTATGCAATATGATGCAACAACTCATGATTCGCGATAGAACCTTGGAGTTCCAGTACTCGGTATTATGCAACGCCCATATACCGGAGGAATACCTTGTGTGCTATCAAACGTCACAACGTAACTAGGTGATTATAAGATGCTCTATAGGTATCTCTGAAGGTGTTTGTTGGGTTGGCAAAGATCGAGATTAGGATTTGTCACTCCGAGTATCGGAGAGGTATCTCTGGGCCCTCTCAGTAATACACATCATAAGAAGCCTTGAAAGCAAAGTGATTAATGAGTTAGTTGCGGGATGATGTATTACAGAACGAGTAAAGAGACTTGCTGGTAACGAGATTGAACTAGGTATGAAGATACCAACGATCGAATCTCGGGCAAGTAACATACCGATGACAAAGGGAATAATGTATATGTTTTCATTACGCTTCGACCGATAAAGATCTTCGTAGAATATGTAGGAGCCAATATGAGCTTCCAGGTTCCGCTATTGAATATTGACCGGAGAGATGTCTCGGTCATGTCTACATAGTTCTCGAACCCGTAGGGTCCGCACGCTTAACGTTCGATGACGATTTTGTATTATATGAGTTATGTGATTTGGTGACCGAATGTTGTTCGGAGTCCCGGATGAGATCACGGACATGACAAGGAGTCTCGAAATGGTCGAGAGGTAAAGATTGATCTATAGGACGATAGTATTCGGACACCGGAAGTGTTCTGGAGGGTACCGGGTACGTATTGGGTCACGGGAAGGGGTTCCGGGCACCCCCCGGCAAAGATATGGGCCTAATGGGCCAAGAGGGGAAACGCAGCAGCCAGCAGGGGCTGCTGCGCCCCCCATATGGGTCGGACTAGAGGAGGAAGGAAAGGGGAGAAGAGAGAAGGAAGGGAAGGGATTCGACTCCCCCTTCCTCCCCTCCTCCCTCCTCCTTCCTTCCCCCTCCGGATAATATGGTAGGGGGAGGGGGCGAATTGGACAAGGCCCCCAAGTAGGATTCCTCCTACTTGGGGCGCCCCAAGGCTGTCCCCCTCCCCCTCCCACCTATATATACGCGGGAAGGGGGCGCCTAAAACACACACCAATGATTGTTAGCCATGTGCGGCGTCCCCCTCCACAGTTTACGCCTCCGGTCATATTGTCGTAGTTCTCAGGCGAAGCCTTGCGCGGATCACTTCACCATCACCGTCACCACGCCGTCGTGCTGACGGAACTCTCCCTCGACACTTTGCTGGATCAAGAGTTCGAGGGACGTCATCGAGCTGAACGTGTGCAGAATTTGAAGGTGTTGTACGTTCGGTGCTTGATCGATCAAAA